CTCAGATAAATAGTGTTTCAGGGCTTGACCCATCTCAGAGAGGTGGTTTTCTAGGTCTAGGATCCTTGCTAAGGTGCATGCAGTTGTCTATTAACATGGAAATTGCTGTAGTGTCTAGATAGGTCAGGAAGGGCAGGACTCTGATATGCAAGGCATCGTACAAGCATGATTAAATAAATCTATAAGGTCCAAACACCTGTTGACTTCTCTGATTTAAAGGTTACTGTTGCCACTGAAATCTTGGGTTTGATAATTCATGATGGAAATGTGTCTGGTATAATGTATTTTTCTTTCATGAAAGGTTCCTCAGACAAATATAATTGTGGGAGTCAAAAGTAAAATAAAGTTTGATCTAGCAAGGATTGCACACTTTCACAGTAATGAAAACTTAAATCTGCATTAAATAACAATGAAACTTGTAAGGGATATAAGGCACTGTATTTTATGAAACAATATAACACTTGGATTTAGAAGGCAGGATTCCTAGGGAGGGATTTGTCCACGAGGCAGGTTACTTTTGTTGTGGTTGCTCACGTCTGTCTCTGAAGTGTCTGACTATGGCTGCTGATGCCATTAGCTGCAGGTCACTCATTTGTGCCTGCTGGAGGTTTTCTTTATTGGTGCGTTGGAGTAGTAGGTTACCATGAAGAGGAAATTCTGAAGAAACAGATGAGGCATGCCCAGTGTCTCAATCTGTTTTGAAACAAGACTGAAGTGAAAGGCTTCCTTGGAAGGGTACATATCACACTGGGAGCCTAAAAAAACCACTCAAAGGTTTCCATGTAGCTGGCAACCAGTACTGTACAATGTGTCAGCTTGCTTCCCAGGGAGCTACATAACCTGGACCTGATGCTACAAAAAGCCAAAACCAAAACAGAAACGAGTGTTTTGCTTGCCATTTTGCTGGGTAAGTTTGTAATTAAGAGTCTACATTAGAGGGCTATCAAAATTAGGGAGAACTTGCACATTTCTTGAAAGAAATGACACACTTTATTTTGTCTATTAAGATCTGGATATAGTAGTATTTACTTGGATAAGAAGAAACATTAATTTAGCAGGAAGTTTCAAGTATATTCCTCAAATATTTTTATATTCTATGGTTGCACCTCCCATACATGAGTAAGGCTAGGAGCACTTGCTAAAAGTACCTAACGCTGTAGCTCTGCTCTATTATCCAACAAAATCAGTGATGAATATGTATTCCTAGGCAAGGTAGTAATTACGTTCTGATGCTTGTAAATATGTAAGTACTTGCGTACCTTTATTATTATGTGTAGTTCTCTTGAGTCATAATTAACACGTGGGAAGAGGTAAGATCATATTTAACAATCCATTTGCAGCATCCTATGGCACACATTCAATAGTTTATGCCTTTTAATACAAAGTAATCATTCATGTTCAATAAAAGTACTCCATGTGGATTGACTTACAGCCTGTTTTGACTCCTGAATGACACTATCACTTACTTAAAGTCCCACAATAACACGGGATGGACTTTTATTAGGCTCCCCTAAGTAAGTAAGTAAGAAAAGGCTATTTTGCAGTTAAAACAGGGTAAGCTGCAGAAAGTGGTAGCATTGCATTTCTTGGTGTATGCAAAAAGTTTAGAGAAGCCATTCAGTGAAAATTCTAAATCATAGACTTCTCTATAGGACAGTGTGTGTATATGATAAGATGGTTAGAACCTTTTTTTAACTGCAGATATCCATTTAATTTCAACAGGCAAACCAGAATGTGCTAAAAAATTATATGATGATACATTTCTAAACCCCTATTTTTAATCAATTTATCAGATTAGGATGAATTATGTGGGTTTATACATATGCAATGTGTAGGGCTGAGTTTTCCCAACCCTTTTTTTATTTTTTTATTTTTTTTTAAATTTGTTTATTTTGGGTTTACAACAGCAAGGAGAGGTTTCTCTCCTTGGGTAATGCAGTGGTGGTTCTCTAGTTGTCACTAGTTGGAACATGGGTTCCTATCATGAAGAAAGCAGGAAAGCTGCTTGGTCTGGGCTTCCATCATGTTAGCTGTTAGAAGGTAAATTGGTGGGAGGAGACACATCATTTCATTTCCCCAGGCAAATTCCCTTGGCTGTTTTTGGAATTACTCAAAGTAGCTGGCATAGCTGGAGTTATTGCTGTATCAGTCATGGATTTGGAAGTGCCAGGTCATGGCAGCAGAGCTGATTCAGCTCAGTACATGGCATAGTGCTGAGGCAGCTAGGTGACTCTGCTGGCAGTGCCTGCAGCAGCAGTTCACAGCTTCCTCCCTGAATTCACGAGTTTTTAGGTAGCAGAGGTGTTTTCAGCTTTTAACCTTGTTAAAACCAATGTGCTTGTGCAGCCTGTTATTTTTTGAGCTTCTTGAAACTGACAAGTTTTGATGGGGAGTATTATAGGGGAGCTGGTGGTGTAGCTCTGCTGCAGGTATGCATAGTGTCCCCTCTCATTTTGCGACTCAAGCTCATGTGCAAAATGTTTCATCTCACAGAATTTACAAAACTCGCACTGTTTCACTGGGAAGGTTTTGGGCAAATGCTGTTGTGGTCATTAGCTCGTTCTCATGTGCAAGTCTATTTTGGCAGCTTATTGTTAGATGTGATTCATGTTAGATTCAGAGAAGGTTACTGCATTTTTACAGTACATTTGGTTTTTTCATTGTTTGGAGCTTCATGACTTCTTGTGGCTTTTTGTGGGTGCTAAAGCATGCATGGATTCTTCTGTAAATAAGAATGTTGATCAGTCGATGGACATTTGTTAGCAAGTGCAAGAAGCTGCTGCTTCACTTTATACACAGCTGCTTAGTCTGGCAACCTGTACCTTACAAAAGTGACTAAAAAGAAAATACAAATCTTTTTCCAGCTCAGATGTTTTGAATAGTTGGCTGCAAGTTCCTACGAAGATCATACAATGAGTAATCCCATTGAAATCAGTGACTCAACTCATTGCATAAAGATAGGTGCAGGTAGAAACTGTACAGTGTGATCTCCTCAGGACAGTAATAACCAAAATCAGTGTTTGAGCACACAGGTTATTTTCATTTCAGGGTGCAAGTACACCCTGGAACGTTAAGACAGTTTGTAATCGAGCAAGGCAGACTTCTGCTTGAGGCTAATGTGAAAAATTAAGTCTTTCTGTTGCTGCAAATGTTTTTAATGTTTACAGGCTTGTGTGTATGTATGGTTTTGTTTCCTAATCCGCTATCTACAGAACAGTTGGTGCTATACAATTCCTTTTGTAACTTGTGTCAGATTCTTGGAAGCCTTTTTCCCCCAAAGGATTACTTAGTTTTGTTGGTTTAATAAGTATCATGAAGAACTCTAACATTTAGGATACTGTTGCCAGTGGCTGGTTACTTTTGTCCCTTTGGCTAAAAAGTAGTTTTATGGGTGCATAAAGAATTTAAAGCAGGTACCTACAGATAACTTATCTTCAGTTTAAGGATCTTCATTCATTTATACATGAAAAAAATGAAGTAAAATCTAGTTCTGTTACTGTTAGTGTCTGGATGTGAAGTGAGAATAAGAAGGGGTCAATCATGTGAGCTTAGACCACATGCTGTCCTTCTGGCACATTCAAAAAATAAAAGAAACAGAACTGCAGATTTACAGGCTTAATCAGTCCATTAGTTTCCAGCTTTTAAGTTTGTTCTTATAGAGAGACAAAACGTTTGGCTCGGATGTAAGAGTACTCTCAAATTCTTGAATTCAGCAACGAGTCAAACGAGCACTGAAGATCCTCACTAGTTTGAAATTTACCATTAGGGGGTGGGGTGTGTGAAAACCAATCTCCAGAAGTTGCAGTAGAGATACAGGACAATATTGCTTTTGATAAAGTACATATATCTGTGGTGGAAAATCAGAAGTTCCTATCTTTAGAATTCTTTGGTGCACAGATTAGTGCATGTAGCTGGGTTATAACTATACATGTATGTTCTGCTGAGTGTAACTGATTAGTAGCCTATTGTTTTACTCCACTCATTTTCTATCATAGCAAAGGTCTGGTTGTCTTTTCTCCCAGTCATAAGATTATGTTTAAGGAAATAACTTATCCCTCTCATAGTGAGAGCATTGTACCAGGATTTGTGATGCTAAGTTTTGATGGTATATACCTCTGTTTATTGAAGAGTAATAAAGCATTACTGTTACCACTGGAAGCTAAACTTTTTACTGAAAGCTCAGTTCTTATTTCTGAGAGGAAAAAGTCCACTTGAAACTTCTTTTGCATGTAGTTTTGTTTCATGACTTTAATGCTAGGATGCACTGCATTCAAATCAGCTGAAGGCAGAAGATGTGTGTAAGATTCTATACAGACACATGCTTCTACGAGAAGAAATGTGGCATAACCACAAGTGCACTCTAAAAGCTGAAATTTGAGTGTTGTGGTTTAACCTACATAAGTTCTGTTAAAGCTGAGATACAACAGGATGAGCCAGAAAATGCAAAGAGTTGGCATTCCTTTCTTAAGTGCTTGTCATGAAAGTGGGAGCTGTAAAGAACTTACATGTCTAACCTCCGCAGCAAATTGCTAGCAGTTTACTGTGGTGCTTTTTTCAGTAATTGCTGTTTATATAATGGTAAATGTGAATTCGAAAGACCTTACTTGATCTTTTATGAAAGTTTGCAGTTACAGATTATTTGATACATATCACACTGTTTTGCTAATATAAACATAATATCAAAAGACAAGGCCTCTACCTAATCTCTAATCTAGTCTTGTTTTATGTGCAAATTTCAAAATAAACATTTTATTTTCTCTCTTTTGTTTATTTTTTAATGTTTTTAAAAAATTTTTTTTAGAAGAAGGAAAACTTTCTGGATTTGCAAAATAGACCAGATAAGCCTATCATTTTCCTTAGGATCCTTCACAGATCTTACCTTGTACTGCAAAAACGCTCATTGTATTAGAACAATTTCTTTGTTGTGTGTCAGACGAAAAATTTTTATTTCTGTACAAATGTATTGGTTTCAAAAATGCTGTTTTGGTTTTATCTTTTCAGAATTTGAAGTTTTGGTGATCCATCATGGGGAACCATGTAGGAAAACGAGAACATAGTGCTGACAAGTCAGCCAAGGTAAGTGTAAAAAATTGAAGAGACAAGGCCACTGGAGAAATATGTATGTGATGAAATACAGGGGGTTTTTTTAGGACAGTAGTTGTTTACCTAATTACTGTCACCATTACTATTTTGTAGCTGACACTATAAAAATGACCACCTTTTTTTGCAAGAGGATCCTATGAGATGTGGCCAAATCAGGATTTTGCTGTGCTGTGTTTAATGAGAGATGTCTGATGTTTTCCTGTGTCAGAGCCACAGCTGAAAAAAGGCTTCTCAGTCACGGTGGAAATGAATGAAATGAGTCTTAGAAGCATATTTTAGAATTTTTGGAAGAGTCAGGGAGCTATGTTCTGTGTGTTGTCAATTTTCCACATGGGCAGTCATTGGCTTTATCCATAAGAAAGAAACTGTAAAGAAACATGTAAAGTAAGAGGCTTCTAAAGGAAAAGATTGTCAGTCTGAGGAGATACAGCTTTAAAAACCTCCTCCCCAGAAAAAAAAAATGTCAAAATGTTAATTAAAAGCTAGTATTTGTTTTCTAAGCCTCTGCTGACACTGTTGTGTTTTCTGCACATAGTGTGGTATTCTGTTTGCCTTGTGATAATATCTTGTTTATTTGTGTTTCTATGTTGTACTAGAAGAGATTTCACACATATCTTAAAACAGGACATCTTTCTATATATATGTAGAAAATGCTGCTTGTTGCTAGCTATTGCTAGCTTCCCTTCACCCATCCTCACCCAAAAATAACAGTTTGCAGTCTAAGCCCACACTGCATGAAGCTATTGCCCTTTGCATTGGACAGATGATGTAAACAGGTAGTTCTGGGCTTTATCTGGTGGGATATACATTGCTGTGCAGATGAGCAGCTCACTCTAAAAGGTGTACAAACCAGAATTCTCACAGTTATTAGTTCTTTGCCATCTCCTTTAGGAAAATACATAAGCACACTGAAAAGAATAGGGAGAAGACAGCAGGAAGTGGGAACAGCTGGCTACATGTGGTTTTGTTTCGTGGTGGTGCAGTATTTTGCAAAATGGTTTTGTAGCCCAAAGTTTTGGTTTCAGTACAAACAATAATATGAGTCCGAAGTTGTTGTCCTGCGGTGAGGAATCTTGTAGACTTGCCCTTTAGAAAACTTTGTCCTGCAGCAAAGTCAAGCGCAACAAATGTATTTAGCCAAATATTTTGATCCTTTCTGACTAAGCATGTGAGATTCTGCAGGTGTGATATGGTAAATTTACAGAGCTTGATGGGTTGTTGTGCACCAAATATCCCCAGCTTTGGTCTTTGATGACAAAATTTGGTTAGAAAAACACATTGTATCTCGTCTCCTCCTGTGAGTTCACATGTGTTTGATACATCTGGGTGTCAGGTGGGTGAGTTGTCAAGCATATGGGGCTTCAAAATGGCAAAGATTCTTCAAATTTTAGCAGCCTATACAATTGGTGCAAGTTCTGTGGTAGTGAGCATGAGTCAGGTGGTCATGACTCTTGCACTTGGTGTATAGTTCAGATCCACAAGGAAATGGATTGCTGCAATTTTTAAAACTTTCTTCCTTTTCCTAATTAATTCATGGAGGATACTTGATTCAAAATAATATTCATTTACCAAAATTGATTTTGAAGTGTAGTAGTATCTCCTGTGCCTCACTCATCTTTCTAGAGGGACAAAAAGCCAAAATACCAAATCCCTAAAATTTCAAATTGGCAATGCTTGGTCAAAATCTCCCTTTATGCACAGTAATGTGCATAATCTCCCTTTATCTAAGGCAGTAATCATGTCACAAGAAATGGCAAGGCCACAGACTCAAAATCAGGAAATATATGGTTAAGGTGCTACTATGTATTCCCTCTATCTAGTCAATCTTGATTCAGTTCGTACAGGCAACATTTTTTTTAAATTGAAGTATTTTTATTGTTGTTGTTCAGTATAGCTGTAAATTAGAACTGTTTTCCCACCCATCTTCTAGTGTGGTATGGGAGACAATTGCTGAAGGCTTACAGAGACTAGAGTAGAATTGCTGAACTGCCTCTCCTCATGCATAGCAATAAAGCTGCAATGAAAGAGGCAAACATTTCATCAAGGGTCTTTCTAAATTTCATTATTTTCACTCTTCAGGCTGTTTACTTTACATCCTTTCCCAACACTGTAGTACCAAAGAAAACAGCGTCATTTTAGGCAACTTCTTTGAACCTTTGATGTCAGCTTTACTAATACTGGTTCCTGAACTGATAGACCATTTTTCCACAGAGATGTTTTGTGTGTAGTGACATTAGAGAGACTGTTGCCAACTGCAGCAGTCATAATTCTTGGTTGTCCAATAAATGTCCTGTAATACAGCAGTTACTAAGAGGTTGGTTTGGGGGTTTCTTTGAGTTGACATCTAGTTTTGCTTTACTTTATTAAATTCATGTATTGGAACTACAAAATTAGAAATAGACATCTGGAAAGCAATTATTGCATGAAATGTCTAAGATGACACCAAGGAGCTTTCAAATTAGGAAATTTGCAAAAGACAGTAAGGTGGCTTCCCATGCTCTGATACCTCTTTCAAAATATTGTTCTCCTTTTGATTTATAAATATGCCAAGCTACAGTAATTATTTAATAAATAATGAGATACTGTGAAATTAAGTAAACATTTTGAAAAACAACTGGTCTGTTTGACCTAAGTAATGTTGAAAACATTTACAAACCCCTTATGTTTTATTCAAAGCAATAACAAACACCATCTCGTTTGTGTTTAATGGAGCTGCATTTTTTTAGAGTTTTGTAGGATACCAAAAACTATTCAAAGAACCCAGCAGTTTATCTTTTCTTTTTACTTTGAGCAATGCTAGACTTTGCAATCTGTTTAATGCTTTAGTAAATCTGTAAGTATCTATTTTGTTTCCTTTGTTCATAGTGTTAATATTTGGGTTTAAACTTAATATAAATATATCTAAGAACAAAAATAACAAAAAGAATAGGCTGTCTTTCATGCCCTGAGTTAAAGTTCTCGGAGATCTAAACATAGAGGGGTAGACAAAATAGACCGAGAAGTTTTGTTGGGTTTTGTTCAGAGTTGTAGTTGATCTGTGTTAACCAACCACGAGCCTGATTTTCATGGTCACATAGTACTGTGGTGAGCTGGAAACCAAGCTTGTGACCTATAATCAAAGGTCAAAACACACTGTCCTGCCATGTCAAGGGAGTGTTCAAGAAACTTCTACAGGCCTGGTACATGATAGGTTATTGGCAATACTGGATCATCTACCTCGTCCATGTCCTTGGGGTGTAGTGTAAATAAAGACCAAGGTACCAAAAGCAATTGCTACCTTTGATACCCAACTCTGAAAAACCTTGGGAAATGTAATTCCAGGCCAAAACTGAAAACAGACGTAGTGATAAGGCACTCAGTTGACAATTTAATGGTTTGCTTGAACTAAAAATATTTTGTTAATAATGACTGAGTCTTGCTGGCTAGTAAACTTATGAAAAATCTTGCCTTTAAATGTCCTGTGTTATGTACCTAGATTTTATAATGTGTTTGCAGTGGTTGATTTGATAATTTTGATAACATGACTATTTCTCAGTGTTTAAGGAGAACTCAGCATAATTAGTTTAAGCTGAATTGCTACAGTGAGCATGTTTCAATAAATCAGATGATTTCTATACTGCTTTTTTGCTATTTTCTTCCTCTTTTTTTCCCCTGTTGTCTTGCTAATGTCAGAAATTTGCACCCTGTGTAGTTTTAGTCTTGATAATATTGACAAAGTTTTCTGGCTCTCTCTGGTGAGAAGGAGTTGAAATTCTGAAGATGCTGGCCCATGATGGTAGTTGTGTTGTTTATCTCATATACACTCAATGATCTGCAAGCAAAAGATTTTTCACACTGATGTGTCTCATGGTTGACACTGCTTACAGACTTGAGCCATATGTGTGGTTTTTACCAGGTGCTTCCTCTTGGTATGCATCATAAATTATCAAGAAAGGGAAACAACAACAGATGAAATAATTTAATTTTCTCTGTTGATTGCTCTGAAGTGTTATTTTTGTAAGATAAAAATTTATTTTTTAATATGTATAGTTCGAGAGATACATGGCATACGGATTATGTGGATTTTGAAGTCTGGGATATGCTTTTGCGTAAAAAGTAAACAAAAAAACCCCTATAAATATCAAATGTGGCTTTTGAATTTATTTACATTTATATAAATGGTCTATTATCCTACATACATTAATCATGCAGCCTTTTCACTTTTGTCCCCTAGCAAAGTTGTATAGCACTATTTTTATTTTCTAGTGCAATTGTGTGTTTTCTCAGTTTTACCTTTTGCTGTAAAGCAATAAAGATCACAGCGCCTATAATACTGTAGCCTTTGCAATTTGGTGTATTGATTGAAACACTCCCCTCTTGAGCCAGTATCTTTCTCAGGGCAAAGGAAAAAGAGAGAAAAACCTGGAAATGTTGAGAGTGCTAGTGTTTTCTGCAAGAGATTTGATGAACATTTTCACCAGGCAGTTTTACATGTTGCATACACACTGTAGAAATTCTCGTGGCCAGCTCATGTCTGGCTAAGCCAGTGCCTGGTACGAGGAACTACTTTTGGAAAAGGCGGATTGTTTTTCAGGGTGTGAAGGGAAGTTCTGGGCAGTCAGGTTAAGCAATACTAGTTGAATTTGATAGATGTCTGTTTTCTTCAATTTTTGCTATCGACCTAGCTTTGGCCTTGAGCAAATTTTCATGTGCTTGCTCTGTCTTCCTATTTCATTTCTTAACCTTCATACTGTCTAACTGGATTGTTTGTTGGGACAGATGCAGTGTCATTTCGTGTTAATAGTAGTTATTGGAGACCTTGAGTGGAGCCTTCAGGCACTAATGTACTTCAACTAGTGAGATGATATCATAGTGATACAAAAATGACTGTACTGTTTGAAACCTCTGAGAATGCCAAGCATGCAGTAGATGTGACACCTATCCTCCAAAATTACCCTTAAGAACTTCATTCAGTGTGGTATTGGAAGTCTCTT